CAGTGGAAGCTCATTGAATAAAACCTCATTGAATGGAACGGATATATTGTGATAGGAGTCGATGATACATTGTGGTAGTTGTTGATGATAAGGAATTGTATTCAATTGTCTAGGATACTTGGACGCTGTGTTGAATGTTGTGTTCATGATAAGAGGAGGAAGGATGTTGGCGGGGGAGGGGGTGGAGATGAAGGAAGGGTAAAAACTTTTTTTTTTTTGAGTTTTGTGCTGGGCGGGTTTTTGTTTTTAGTTTAAAAACCTTGGGATTGATAGACTCAAGGCCTAGTAAGCTTATGTTTAAGGTTTGTATTGTTGGATTTTTCAGGCTTATGTTTAGTACGCTTAGGTTAATTAGGCTTATGTTTAGTACGCCTAAGCTAAGTAGGCTTTGTTTTATTACACGTAGGCTAAGTAGGCTTCGGCTTAATAGGCTTAGGTTTAGTAGGCTTGGGCTTCGTAGGCTAAGTAGGCTTAGGCTAAGCAGGCTCAGGTTTAGTAGGCTTGGGCTTAGTAGTCTTAAGCTTACTAAACTTAGGCTTACTACGCCTAGGTTCAGTACGCTCAGGAACCAAGCACAAGCTTAGTACGCTTAGGTTTAATTGGTTTAAGCTTGCCTAATCTTAGGACTGGTTTAGGCTTCCCAGACTCAGATGTAGTAGGTGCACAATTATTAGGTTTAGTAGGTTCAGGCTTACTAAACTTAAGCCTAAACGGCTCCGTAGGCTTAGACGTATGTGGCTTAGGTTTAGGGAATCAAGCTGAGTAACGTTAGGCATGGCTTAGGCTATAATTTTTACATTTTTAACTCTATAAACATATAAAAATAGTAGATGACTCATTTATGTACTACCACATAATTTTGTAATACTTTCAAAACGAGAGTTGTGAAATACCGTGATTAACTTTTATTGTCATGTCTTTCTGTTTTGGCTATTACATTTTTTATAAGTCCTATAAGCTGATGTTGAAATGTCGGGGTAAGTATATAAACCAAAAAAGAAGATGAATGTAAGCGTTAAGTCTACTTTTCTATTGGATTACACTTTTAATAGGCTTAGGAGTATTACAGTAGTATCGCGGTGTAAATATAAACGAGCTATAGAATTACAATATCTAGTGTAACAATGTGAAAATAATTTTGAAATTTTCAAAAAGTTGTTTTAAATTATTCAAAAGTATGTTGGACTAGTTTTGTTGCTAGTATTATGTATTTTCTTTACTATATTTAGGCTTAAAAAAGCGCGTTTTGCATAAATCATTAATAATATATGAAGAGACTGAAATATTTGGATTAGATAACAGATTATGTTAGCCCAAGATTTGTGTTCTTGACTGGATTATGTGATAAACTTAAAGCTTTTTTACAACTTTGAAACATTTCTTAAATTTTATTTAGGAAGTAATAAATAATTTTGTATTAAATTTTTAAAATTAGCTTTTACTCGGCATATTAGGCTTAAGCGAAATGCTTAGAAGGTTCAGGCTTAGGCTTTGTAGGCTTAGGTTTAGTAGGTTTAAGCTGAGCAGGCTTTGTAATTTTAGGTCTGGGATTACTAGGCTTAGATTTAGTAGGTTTGGGCTTACTGGGCTTAGGCTTAGTGTATTTTGGCTTTGCAAGCTTAGGCATAGTAGGCTTAGTCTTAGTAGTCTTAGGCTTAGTAGGTTTAGGCTTAGTAGGCTTAGGCTTAGTAGGCTTAGGCTTAGTAGGCTTAGGCTTAGGCTTAGTAGGCTTAGGCTTAGGCTTAGTAGGCTTAGGCTTAGTAGGCTTAGGCTTAGTAGGCTTAGGCTTAGTAGGCTTAGGCTTAGTAGGCTTAGGCTTAGTAGGCTTAGGCTTAGTAGGCGTAGGCTTAGGTTTAGTAGGCGTAGGCTTAGTAGGCTTAGGCTTAGTAAGCTTAGGCTTAGCCTTTCTATGTACAGTAGGCTTAGCCTCAAGCTAAATAGGCTTAGGATTGGTAGAATTTGCTTATTAGTCTTAGCTGAGCAGATTTAGGTTTGGTACACTTAACCTTAGCCTTACTATATATCTTTTTTAAACTGGATTTTTGCCTACACGGTAGCCTTAAATTACGTTATTAGGCTTATGATTATATGTCTGGTTTTAAAAAATAGTTTTTTTGTTATTAGCTAGAAGTTTTTATTTTTTATAGCTGAATATAAAATTTTTTTTTAAATTTTCTGACCGTGTGTACTGCCTTCAACCATCAATTCCATTTTTTACAATACAATCCCAATAATTCGTATGGAGCTTGTTTGGCATAATAAGTTATCTAAAGTCAACTGGGGTGCTTTCCTTTGTCCTCCGGCGAAAAAAATAAATATTAGGTCCCACAAAACATGGCACTGATTCTGCCACACGGGAGAGGATTGAAATGTCAATGAAATCGGGGCGCCTCAGGGTGGGGGAGGAGGCTTTTTGCGTTTCGGCCGTTCTCTGGAGCACGTCAAAAATAAGACAAAACTGATGCTAACTTGTCAGTGAACGCGGCGCGCTACATCTTAATAACTTTCCGTGTACAAAATGGTGTCGTGCTCGTTTAGGTCATTGTCTTCTTGAGTTTAAATGGGTCTGGGAGGTGTTTTTTGGGAAATTTAAACGTTTTTGAGAGGTTTTAAAGTGGTTTTTAAAACGAACATTAATTAAATTTTTTGAAGCTTCAGTGAAGAGTGCTTAGGCTTAATATAAGCCTAAGGATTTTTTATATTTATTTTTTTATTTTGACCAATATTTATTTTGACCTTAAGATATCAAACTATTAATGTTAGGCCTCTGGTCGTTTTTAGCCAAAACGTGCTAAGCCTACTAAGCCTAAGCCTACTAAGCCTAAGTCTATTAAGCTTAAGCCTATTAAGCCTAAGCCTTCTAAGCCTAAGCCTACTAAGCCTGAGCCTAATTAGCCTAAGCCTACTAAACCTAAACTTACTAAGCCTAAACTTACTAAGCCTAAGCTTGGTAAGCATAAGTTTGTTGGTTTAAGGCTACTACGATTAAGTTAATAATGCCTAAGCTTACTAAGCCTAAGTCTGCAGATCTAAGTCTACTGCACTTAAGTTTATTAAGCTTCAGTTTTTCTAGTCGTACTAAGCCTAGTAAACCTAAAACTAGTCAGCCTATACTTGCCAAACTTAAAGTTAAGCCTATTAACGTGAACTACATTTACTAAGCCTACGTTTACTATCTTGCTGTATATATGATAAATCACTATGTACCTAATAACTAGCCTGGCGTTTCCCACCCTCTTTTACGCTGTAGCACGTTGACAATAGTCTGATGACATCAGAAAACAAATTTTTGACCTGTTTTCTAAACCGCGGTGACGTCGTTTCATATAAATTGGTTTTGCATTTTTGTTTGTTCGTTTAAATTTTAAATTTTTTTGAAATGCGTATAAAGAAGCGATAAATATGTGTCAGACATTTTAGACATTTGTTTAGAACTGGCGAGGACTTTTGGCACAATTTATTTGATTTACAGGTTTTTTTATTATATAAGGTCGGCTATTGTATTTGAAGTTATTACTTGGGATTGGGGGGGGGGGAGATTTTTTTGTTGTAAAGGGTTGGGTAAGAAACATTTTTTAAGAAGATAAGGGGAGGAAGGGTCATTTTACTTTGCATTGTGCTGCCTTGCCTTGCCTTGCCTTGCCTTCTCTTGTCTTGCCTTGCCTGGCCTGGCCTCTGCCTTTCCTTGCCTTGCCTGGCATCTCCCTTTGCCTTGCCTTGCTTGGCCTCTGCCTTTGCCTTGCCTTGCCTTGATTTGCCTTGCCTTGTCTTGCCTTGCCTTGCCTTGCTTTGCCTTGTATTGTCTGGTCTTTTTCTGCCCAGCCTTGCCTTGCTTTACTCTACTTTACCCTGTTAAGCCTTAGCTTGCTTTGTCGTGCTGTACCCTTCCCTACCCTGCCTTTCCCTTCCTTGCCTTGCTCTTTTATGCTTTGTCTTGCTTTGCACTGTCCTGCTTTGCTTCTTTGCCATGCCCTACCTCTTATTATAGCATACTCAACTCTATCCTACCTTTCTTTACCTTACTTTACGTTACCTTGCTCTACCCTCTCCTACCCTATTCTACTCTACTTTTTCTTCCTACTCTTTACTCCTTACCTCAGTATTTGTCATACCAGGAATTTTAATTTTTAATTGAAATTTTTTGTTTTTAATTTACATAGGACAATATTTATCATTTCGGCGTATCTTCGTGCTACATTAACTATGTATGCACTTTCCATGTTTAATTTAATTTCATTTCCAGTGTATTAATCACTCGTAATTGGCAATAAGAAAAATCAATTTTGTGGTCGCAGGAGAGAGAGAGACAAGAACATCCAACAACATGAATTTGGTCACGCTGTAAAGTTACATGTAGGTTTTTACATTTTTCTGTTTTTAGGCTTACAATTGGGTTAATGCTTAGACTTGAGCTTAGGCTAAAGCATGGACTTGGGTTTCGTCTTAGGCTTGGGCTTAGGCTTAAGCTTAGGCTTAAGCTTGGGCTTTAGCTTAGGCTTTGACTTTAAATTACCCTTAGTTTTAGGCTTGGGCTTAGACTTAGATTTGGGATTAAGCATGAGCTTGGGCTTAGGCTTAAGCATAGTAATAGGCTTACGCTTAAGGTTTGACCATAAACTTAGACTTAGGTTTTGTCTTTGGTTTAGGTTTAGTTATAGGATTAGGCTTAGACTTAGGCTCATTATCAGGCGCAGATGTAGGTACAAGCTTAGAGTTAGGCTATATCATAGGCTTAGAGTTGGTCTTAGGCTTAAGCTCGGGTTTAGGCTTAAGTTTGACTTGGACTAAGGGTTTGGCTTAGGTTTTGACCTATAAGCTAAATCTTAGGCTTTGAAATGGGCTTAGGCTTAGGTTTTTACTGAGACTTTTAATGTAGCTGAGGTTTAACTTTAGGCTTAAATTTTCAATTGTTATGTGTAGGCTTATAAAAAAATTGTAAGTTTTTTTTTTATTTTTCAGCCTATTTCCCAAAAAGTTCAAGTTTTTTGAATTGAACAAAAATGGACGTGGCGAGCAGTTCGAACAGCACGAATTCACAACAGAACAAGCTCACACCCTCAACCTCGTTGCCTAACACCAGCGGCGGCGATAAACAAGTCCTGGCGAACAGCAGGTCAGCGGAACTAAGGCCGGAAAGTAATGGTAAGAAGACGTTAATTTGTTTATTTTGATTTTAAAAAAAGTTCAAATTATTTTTTTTGTATTTATTGTTTACTGGTTGATCTTTGATTTAAATTTTGATGCACTGGTACTGCAAAGATTGCTTTGAAAAAGGAAAAAGATGGCTAGACAGGAACTTTGCTACAGATTTTTTAAGAAAGTAGGGGGGGGTGGGGGGGGAGGGAGGTAGACGTCAAAATTTTTTTTGGTTCACAGGTAGCCTGTGTACCCATGTTTTAAAAAAATAATTGTGTAGGGGAGGGAATTCACTCTTCATTCACAACTCAAAGGCCTATATGGCAAGGTTAAGCAAGAAAAGGAGCTGGTTTACAAGCTATAGCTAGCTATAATATGATGCTTGTGAACTTTATACATGACTTGAGAGTTAAAGATGTATAGTGCACTCTAAGACGTTGAAAAATGGGTTTGTTCTTGTTGGTTTGGGGTAGGTTAGGTTAAAGTTGAGTAGAGTAGAGTAGGTTACAGTAGAGTACAGTAGAATAGAGTAGGATAATGTAGCATCGGGTTGAGTAAGATAGCTTCTTTTCTCTTATTATATGTTATTAAGTATGATTATTGTTCACATCTGTTTTTTCACATTTATAAAAAGGCTTTTCAATGTAAGCGTGACAAAGTTGGTGGCTTTTTGAAAATTAGCTTTATTAGGAAATTCCCGGCCATAAATCTGAAACCTCAACTTTTACGTTATGAAGAAATAACGTTTTCTAGCCATAAGTTAGCTTCAACGTACTTTTTCTCACAATAGGCCGGGTGGCAGAATTAAAAAAATCATCATTTTGTCATTTTTTTTTGAAGAGGGGGGGGGAGGGGTTGGAAGCCTATTTTTTTTTGTTTTACAAGTAGCTTGTTCACCCAGTTTTCATGAAATGGTTCCTTAATTGTCTTTTATAAAGCATAGGCATAGACTGTAGGTTTGGCTTGGGCATAGGACTAGGTATATAATTAGGGCAATGTTTAGGCTGACATTCAAACGTAAGTTGGCTAGGCTTATGCTTGGAATATTGTTCCCTAATTCTGCCCAGTTGTAAAAAAGAGGGCGGATTTACCTCTAATCAACACTCCACCTCCCCCCCCCTCCTCTGGCTACGTCCCTGAAACCCCCCCCCCTCCTCTGGCTACGTTTCTGACTCTCCCCTCATCCCTCCTCTGGATACGTCGCTGACTCTTCCCTCCCCTCCTTAGCTAAGACTCTGTTTTCTGTCTACAACTCTCTTGTTATGCTAGTCTGTACTCAAATATAGCTATAAAACCGGCCAAATCACTATTCCCTTCAACTCAAATTAAGCCCAAAACAATGTTTTTGCCATAACATGTACAAGTACGGAATGGTGTTGGGCCAACATACGCTTAAAGAATTTGATATTCCGTTTTTTGTGTATTATCTATTGTTTCGGCGCGTTCGTTTTACTGCCTTAAGTCCCAGCAGAGGCATTCTTCTAATAAAAAGAACAACAACTTGGCCCCGCGGAATGAATAATCTCACTCATTTTGAGGCAAACTGGGACTTGTTGCGCTTTTAGGTACTAGTAACTATGTTTTTGGGTTATCAATATGTGATTTTTGGTTTAAAAAATTTTTGGAGTTTTAAATTTTTTGATTATGGTAAAGATAATACAAGGTTGTGGTCAAGGTAAAGGTAGAAGACAAGTATGACAAGGATAGAGCAGAGGTATTATAAGGGTAAAGCAAGTGTACGATAAGAGTGGGGCAAATATATGATAAAGCTCAAACAAGAGTAGAGTAAGGAATGGTAAGGGTAGGACAAGATCATGATAGAAGTAAGACAAGCGTATGGTAACGGCAGGCCAAATGTATGCTATGCGAAGGGCAAGGGTAGACAAAAGTATGATAAGGGTGTGGTAATGGCAGGACAAGAAGGAAGGAAGGGCAGCGATAAGAAACGCCAGATAGGGGTACAGAAGAATAAGAAAGGGACAGTACAGGAGTGTAGTTTTGGGTAGGGTGGGGATATGGAAAGGGTAGGGTAGGGTATGGATATGAAAAGGGTAGGGTAAGTTATGGAATAGTACGAGTATGGCAGGGCAGGACAGGGAAGGGCAAGTTATGGTATAGTACGGGCAGGGCAGGGTAAGGTAGGAATGGTAAGGTAGAGTAGGGTAGGGTAGGGTAGAATACGGTAGGGTAGGGTAGAATACGGTAGGGTAAGGTAGGGTTGAGTAGCAGGGTAGGGTAGCCTAGACTAGCTGGCCTTCTCTAACATAATATATATGACTAAGTATGAGTATTGTCCAAATCCGCTCAAAAAAAATATCTAAACCCACAAGCTATATATTATTCAGTGTGTGCTTATTATAAAATCAGTTGTTGAATGGGTTATGTCAAACATGTTTTGTTTTGATATTTTTGAACTTTTGGTCTTATATCTATTCACTTAGGGATGGGGTAAAAAGTGCAGGTGTAGTCAAATATAGTAGAGGGGGGGGGGGAAGGAAGAGATAAAACTTTAAGAAATTTTATATACCTTTTGTATATATCTTTGCCATAGCCATGTTATAAACATAAATTTTGTTTTTATTTGTCCTTTTGACCTCACCATCCCCTGAGTACTATAATTTTCAAAAATCAACCTTCTTTTTGTCATAAATATTTCTTGTCTCAAAATTAAATTTTACTTCTAAGCCTAACGTATAGCCAAAAGTATTGTTACTCAAGCCTACCAAACATTTTTAGACTTTTTCTTTTCGAAACTGTCAAAAATTGAAACTTGTGTTATCGCCAAGTTTCATATTTTTAAACAACTTGAGAGTTTTTGTAATTCAGCGGGGAATTGGGGGGATAGATCTTGCCTTGTTTCAAATATGTCTTATATGACTTTCATAAAACGTTCAAAATAGCCGTTTGAGCACACGGGGCCTTTGTTTTTGGTTTGGGAGAATCTTTTATGGTTTTGTAAGCTGTGGTATACCTTATGTATATATCTATGCTTAGGCATAATCTCAGGCGTAAGGTTTGGCTTACCGGTTATCTTTGAGGCTTATTCTTAGGTTTGTGCTTAAGCTTAGGCTTAAGGTTTGGCTCAGAGTTTTGCTTAAGTTTATTCTTAGGACTGTGCTGAAGCTTAGGCTTATACAGATCCTTAGGCTTAGTGTTAGGTTTATATTTAGGGTTAGGCTTTTTCTTTGGCTTAGGCTTTGGATTAGGCTTAGTCTTCACCTGAGGCTTATGTTTAAGCTTGAGTTTTAGGATTAGGCTTAAACTTAGGCTGATTTATATTGAGGCTTGAGTGAAGGCTTAGGTTGTGACTTTGACTTTAAAATAGGCTGAGGTTAAGGCTTTAGCTTAGGCTTAGGATTAGGCTTAGGCTTAGGCTTAGACTTAGACTTAGACTTAGACTTAGACTTATGCTTAGGCTTAGGCTTAGGTTTAGACTTAGGCTTTGGCTTAGGCTCACGTTCTGTACACTTTATTATCGATCGGTTGCTCGCGGAAAAATCGTTTCAAATTGCCATTCTCGGAGTAATTTGTTGGGTCGTTTTACACCGAGGCAAATGTTATATAAAGCCGTAATGTTAAGTAAGAAAAAATTGCGCAACTTAGTTTCTTGCAATTTCTCTAAGGCTATATTATTATAACGTGACGTTAGGTAACAAAACACAATTTTTTCCAATTTTCATGTTTTTTCTTAATCCATTGTTACCATTTTTGATCTAATAACTTTATTCTTCAGACCTCTCCTTCAAACCAGATCCTCCGAAACGAACGTCGGTACCACCGTCTGGTTCAGAGCCTCCGGCCGAAGATCGAAAAAAGAGCCGTGCGGTTTCAGAATCCGGTGAAAGCACCAACAACAACACGCCACAAGAACGCAACAATAACGACATGAATCGGGGAGAAGATGAAACGGTACCATTGCTACAGAAACCGTCAATTAGCTCCATGAATGAACCTGCCACGCGACCAGCCTCCAGCTCTTCCAACACTAGTTGTCGTGGGTTTTTAGACGAAATTTTTTGAAAAGTAAAATTTTTGAACATTTTTATTAACTGTTAGCAATGTTTAAAAACATGGCATGGAATAGCAAAGAGGTTTCGCAATTTCATTACTATTTCTGAGGGTCCCGAAGCGAAAATCTGTTTTCTTGGCATAACGTTTCAAGCGTATTTTGGAGCCGGCTAGCTAGGATTGGGACATTTTATGATGCTTGAAACAATTTTTTTTTAATTTAAAGTTTTATCTTCCTTTTTATAAATCATTTTTTTTGTCAAAATTTTTGACACGGCGTCCCGTAAAAGTACTGTAACTTTATTATTATATATTTCGAAATTATGTTTTTTGCTATAGCTGGTCAAATTGAATAAGCTACGTTTTCTTGATTTTCAAGTTTGTACCTGTTTTTTAAAAAAAGTTATGGCGCAAAAACTGAGAAGTTTACTGAAAAACTGGGAAAAAGCGGAGTGGGGTGGCTTTAACTTACTGTAACTTCGAAATTATCGCGAACTTTGAAGTTCGGTTTATCACGTTAGTTAGCCAATTGAATAAGCTACATTTACACCAAATTTTAGCTTTTTATCTAATTTGGCAACAGAGTTCTGATTAAAACAAGTTATCTTATCCCTGCGCTCTCTGGATAACTTCAATATTTTATCAAATTTTGCTCAATTTTTACATTTTTACTAACATTTTTGACTGGTTCTAATACGAATAAATTAAAATAATGTTGTATCCTTGTTTTATAGTGTTCATTTCAGTGCGAACATCAGCGGTAAATACTCCAACGCCACCTCCATCCGGAGGACAAGTTCAGAAACGAGTCGGGATCAATGAACCGCCAACCTCCGTGGCTTCAGCGCTGCCAAATCGATTTGCTCATCACAAAAGGTTAAAAGTAAGTTGGTTTTGAGTTTTTTCTTTGATTTTAGGTAACAATCTTAGGATTGGTCATGTGAAATGGCATGATTTGTTATCTAAATTTAATATTTTTTGGATTTTGTTACCTAAAATATAATTTTTAATTGATTTGTCATTTAAAAAGTTATTTTTTAAGGTTTTGTTACCTAAAATGCTATTGTTTTGGAGTGTTGTTACCTATAATGTTATTTTATATTCATTTGTTACCTAAATTTGTATTTTTCAGTTTGTTACCTAAAATAATATTTTTCTTGAATGTGCTACCTAAAATACAATTTTTTAAAACTTCTGTTGCCTAAAATTCCACTTTTTTTAGAAATACGCCTCCGAAACGAGTTTTGGTCTTTCACCCGGTGCCCCAATAGTACCACGTCAGCTAGCACGAATCGACCCTATCGAACCTCCTCCAGCTAATTCCCAGCCCTCAAGTCGCAACAACTCGGACGCTGGAGGTCACGACGTTCGAACACCAGGTCGAGTCTTTCACGTTCGTACCACCGGCCCCAATTATCAACAGGCCAGTCGTACGGCCGGAAATGGCAGTACTGTAGCCAATAAGGTACATCGTCGTCGTCAGGATTCAGACGATGCTTCTGGTAGCGTGGGGTCCGAAACCACCGTAGCTAGTGGTACTATAACGCCGGTATCTCGTCGTATGTTGAGGTTCAAGTTGAGGCGGCCGAAAAGTACCGGGAGTATGGGGAATCAACAGGATACGTTGGGCCAAGGAGATACTTATCATTCTACTGGCAATCCTTATGATCCCAGCTTCACGTCGGCTACGATACATTCACTGGAGTCGAATCAACAACAGATATTTCAGGATGTGGAGGAGCGAAGAGCGTCGAATTTTTATATCTTCGATGATGATAGTACTCATGAGTTCGATGATGAAGTTCAAGGTAGGGGAGATTTTTGGATTTTTTTTTTAACTTTGGAATTTTGTAAAAAAATTTAAATTAAAAAAATAAAATTTTAAAGTAAAAATTTTAAAAAATATTTTCTGTCAAACGACATGAAACTACAATAATATCATGCAATGTACTACAAATCTAACACGTTACAACAAGAACCAGCTATTAATTCAAAAACAAACGATAATTGAAATTTTATTTTTGACTTTTTAATTTTTTTAAAGTCGCAATGCCTCAGGTTTAGTAGGCCTATTTTTTGGTAGACCGGTGCTTTCTTTTACTAATATATTTTGCTTTGTATGGACATATATTGACTTTAATAGCCATAGAAATGAGTTAGATACATATCGTTGGCTACAGCCATATACGGCTTACATGCACCGTAGTGGTACCTTGGCCGTACCCTAGTTTTGCCTTAGGAATTGATTTGTTATAGTGTTACTTAAAAATTGTCATGGCTCTAGAGAAAGCTTACGTTATCTCTGGTTCTCTCTTAGCTCTAGCTCTATTTAACATATTATAACTCTATCCTAGCTTTACCCTGTCCTAGCTTAATATTATTCCTAAACGAGCTTTATATTACTTTCTCCCAAGCTTTCTTCTAGCATTAGCTCTTTACTAGTTTTATCTCTTCTCTAGCTCAATTTTACTTCTAGTCTACCATTACCTAACTCTGCCCTAGCCTTACCAATACTCTAACGTTAGCTTTCTAGCCTTACCCTTGTTCTAATTCATAATTAGTTCTACTCTAGCTGTACACAACCCTGCTATATCTCTATTTCAGCCTTAGCTGTACTTTAGCCTTTCGCCTGCTCTAGCTCTATCCTAGAACTAACATAACACTACAGTATTCACCTGAAGCAAGAACTCAGAGTGGGCTGTAAAATTCTTTTTATTACTCATCTAAACCTAAAACATCTTCTTAGCACACATAGTACTAATCCCCTCGCAAAAACTTTTTTTTCGTGCACAAAGATCCAACATGTACATGGGCTTGTCTAACCGTTCCATAAAGCAAATGTTTACACACGTCCGCTGAAAGCCGTGCGCCATTCGTTTTACCTCGCCGGATTCTAGACGTTTGGACGTTCTCACGAAACTTTTTCAAAAAACTTTTTTCCGCATTTTCATGTGCATAATAACTGGCGGAAGCCTTCGAATCACGTCATTCGCGCCAAACCGTTTGGTCTCGGCCCGGGTTGTTGGAGATGCCTCTGCATGGTGCATAATAGAGTGTCGCGACTTAAATTTTTATTTATTTGTAAGGTTTGGAAATAGGCTTTCCTTAGTAGGCTTAGTAAGCTTAGGCTCAGTTGGCTTAGGATCAGTTGGCTTAGGCTCAGTTGGCTTAGGCTTAGTAGGTTTAGGCTTAGTAGGCTTGGCCTTAGGATCACTAGACTTAGGCTTTGTCTTGGTAGGCTTAGGATTAGTAGGCTTAGGCTTAGTAGACTTAGGCTTAGTAGGCTTAGGCTTAGTTGTCTTAGGCTTAGTTGGTTTAGGCTTAGTAGGCTTAGGCTTAGTAGGCTTAAGACTTAGAGTAAGCTCAGGCCTATTAGACCTAGACTTAGCAGGCTGTGGCTTTTTTTACATTACCTAGTAGATAATTTTACATTACCTGTTAGGCAATATACTCTCGAAGTAAAACTGTGCCAGAGTGCCGTACTGGCAGTAATTTGTTGGGTCGTTTTACACCGAGGCAAATATTATATAAAACCATAATATTACACAAGAAAACGTTGCGCAACACGGTTTGTTACAATTTCTCTAAGGCTATCTTATTATATTATAACATTAGGTAACGCCGCAGCAATTTCGCAATTTTTTCGATATTTTAGTTTACTTTTAGCTAGTCTGGCATGGTTTCTTGATAGTCATAATATGCGTTATTAGTTATTTTGTATTAAGGAAAGGAGTATACTGTAAGGCAGTAATGTTTTTGGCTAAAAATGTCTTTGTACCTTGTTGTTGTTTAATTATACGTACTGCTAATTAAACCTGATTAACAGTCTTCCATGGTAACCTTTTGGTGGTTGGATTAGGAATGGTAACTTTTTGCTTTTGGGTTCTTCTTACTTTAGTAAGACTATTTATGGTTTGGTAAGGAAAAATGTGGAAGTAGGTCATGGTAAGGTAGGACTGGGTAGATTAGTGTAGGGTAGGGTATGATAGAGTAGAGTAGGGTAGGATAGGGTATGGCAGAATGTGATAGGATAGTTTATGATAGGGGAGGGTAGGGTAGTGAAATCTAGAGTACGGTATGATAGAGTAGGGTAGGGTAAGGCAGTATAGAGTAGTGTAAGATAGGGTAGGGTGTGATAGGAGAGAGTAGGGTAAGGTACGGTAGGGTAAGGTATGACAGGGTAGAGTACGATAGGGTAGGATAAGGCAGTATAGAGTAGTGTAAGATAGGGTAGGGTATGATAAGGGTAGAGTAGGATAAGGTATCACAGGGTAGTGTATGATCGGGTAGAGTAGGACAAGATAGGGTTGAGTACGATAGGATAGGGTAAGGCAGTGTAGTGTAGGGTATGATAGTGAGGGGTAGAGTAGGACAGGATATGGTAGACGAGTAGGGCAAGGTAGTGTAGCATACGGTATGGTAGAATAGAATAGGTTCTGAGATTCCTACCCTATTAGTCCACAAGTACACATCAACAGCTTTAAACCCGGGCACGATGATGAGCCCTGAGGCGTCTTGTTTCTCCCTCATTTTTTTCTCTGTTCCGCAAACGGGCCTTCTGGAGATGCATCAGGCTTTAATTTTTTTTCTCATTTTCGGCAAACGGCTGCACTGAGGGGGAGAGAAAATAAATCCCCGAGAGCTGCTCGTTACACATATTCTCGGTTTCCGTGTGTCATTCCTCGTACTTATCGTTTGTTTAATTTGGGCTCTTCATATTAAGTTTTTCGGGCTACGTGACCGACGAGGGAATTCTGGAGATTTTTTTGGGCTTTAGGGCTGGATTTTGTAATTGGGCATATTTTAGGGTATTTTAAGGGTTTTAAATTTCAAAATCATCATAAGAGGGAGGAGGTTAGTCTACAAAACGTTTTGTAAGTTTCACCCTGGTCTAGAATCAACAGTTTTGGGTTTAGTAGGTTTAGGCTTAGTAGGCTTAGGCTTAGTAGACTTAGTCTTAGTAGGCTTAGGCTGAGTAGGCTTAGGCTTAGTAGGCTTAGGCTTATTAGGCTTAGGCTTAGTAGGTTTAGGCATAGTAGGGTTTAGCTAAGTAGCCTAAGGTTTCGGATGCTTAGGCGACTTTGTAGACTTAGTCTTATAAGGCTAAGACATAGTGTTATTACACTTTTTAGAAACATAAAAATGTTGAAAAAAGGACAAATCTACTCCTACTCTAAGCATGTTACAGTGATTAGGCAATGGAAATAATCCAAATCTGCAATATAATTAGATTTTGGAGCTTGTTGATTTTTGGTTTACGGCGTTTGTCAAAAACAGATTAACGTCTGCCATTTCGAGAACAACTTTAGGCGTTAAGCGAGCGTTTTTTTCAGCAAAAATATAGTGTTGGGGGGGGGGGGGGGTTTAATTGTGTCATAAAATATAATGAAGTTTAATGTTGAGGTTTTTGAAATGGGTAAAGAGGGCCGGCGTGGTAGGTATTATTAAATATTGGGGTTGGATAGGTTTATGAGTTTGATCTGTTATATCTTGTGATGAAGATGGCTTTACATGCTTTTTGTTATTGAAACGTTTTTTTGTCATCTTTTCATTAGAAATGATGATTTTTTAAATTTTTTTTTCGCAGGTTTAGTAGCATCTTATACTAGAGAGTTCTGATAAGGTCGTATTTTACAATACTTCATCTAAAAAAGGTGTTGTAAAACCTCGAAAAGTACCATGAACTAGTAAAACCCAGAAATTACAGATTTTTCAACGGTTTATTTTGATATTTTGCGCATTTTTTGTCATTATTTTAAGCCTTTCTGCCGCCGAAACCCTCGAGGGACTTGTAAATCTGAAGTGAAATTTTTCATGGTTTTACATCGTATGTTTTTCGGTTAATACGAAGGAGTGTGTGTACAGGTGGGGCATGGTTATTTTTTGATTTTGGACTGATATAAGCTTGGTTACTTTAGGGTTGGGCTGGCTTAGCTTAAAGCTAACCTAAATTAAGGCATTTGTAGGCTTAAATTAGGACAGTGTTTGATGAGTTTTGGAAAATTAAGGTTAGATTTACAAGGAAAGTGCTCGACCTGCCCCGCTCTGATTGAATTCAAACTTTTTATATAGAAAGATTAAGTAAATACAAGATCTTAAGCAAGATACTAAACTACGCTTTCCAGTAAATCTCAAGAAAATCGAGATCAAAAAATTAAGTTTTGAATTTTCAGCGAACTTGGCATTGTGTTTCAAGCTTATAACTTTGTCATTTTTTTGACTTTTAACAATTTTTCTTTGATATACTAGTAGAAAACCTTTAAATAAACCTACATTTTTAAATTTTTAAGCGTAGCTTGTCTGGAAAGTTATAAAAAGTGCTTGAAATACAATGCCAAATGACGGGAAAACAAAATAATTCAAATTTAAAACTCAAAAGCGCGAGTTAAAACTTTATATGGGTATTATTGGTGATATAAAGAATCCATATAAAAATTTTGAGCTGCTTCTGCGCGGGGCAGGTTGGGTGCTTTTTTTGTTAGGTTACGTACAGCATAAATTAAGGCGTTTTTAGGTTTAAATAAGGCATTTGTAAACATAAATCAGAACAGTTTTTGATGAGTTTTGGTGAAATAAGGTTAGATGTAATGAAGATTAAGGTTTTTTCTAATAGGGAAAGGTTTGTCATGACAACAAACTTTATGTTGATGATATTTACTGACAAGAAGAAAGGTTTTGTGGCGAAACCTGATGGTTTATATACAGTGAAACTTCAGTGTAACTGGAGGGTTTTAAATTTGTTTGTTATGAAGAATGTTTGATATATAGGAGTTTATAATGTGCTGTGTAGTGGTAGATGGGGATTCAAAAGCTGCCAGTTATAAAAGAGTTCCACTGTACAGTGAAAGCTTCCTATAAGGAACCTTTATATAACGAAACCTTTCTATAACGAACAACTTTTGAATCCCCGTGTGTCTTTACACAGTGCATTTTAAACCTCTCTATAACGAAACCTCTTCATAACGAACAGATTTTAATTCTCCTAGCGATTCGTTATACGGAGGTTTAACTGTTGTTTCTAATTTTTTAAGCTTAGTTGTCTTAGTACAAGCCCTTCGTTCCAATAGTACTACTCTTCAAAACATGCTATAACCCACTACAATACAATCTCTCGCACTGGAACGTTTGTTTTGCAAGTAGTCGAACAAAATGGGGGGATTAAAAATGTTTTTGCGTGTGTGTGGGACATCCGGCCCTTCTTCGGAT